TTCCGGGAACCCAAGAGGAAAGCGGAATTTGGGAATAATGAGGGCAACAAATGTATAGGTGTGCTTCCCACAATTGATCTATGTATTGCGATGAATTGTATGAGCCCCAATAAAATGATTAAAAAAAGATTAAATATGAAAGATATAGTAGTTGATATAACAAATGGCATGTAAGCAGCAGAATGAAGGCAGATGAAGAAAGTAACAAATCTGAAGATTATGTAGAGGGTACTTTCCAGAATTAAGAAATAAAACAGAAAGAGAGAAAATATTCAATAAAAAGAGAAATTAAAATTTATGGAATATAAGTGTGGTATATAATAAGAATTCAAGGAATAATAAGAGATAATAATAGCATTAGGATTCAACAAAGAAAGAGAAATAAAACTGGAAAATACTGGAAGAAATTATGGAGATGTATATTTTGAAGTCAAAAAGAAAGAAGACCGTAGATAGTGATAAATATTAAAAAGAATATAAAACATGGTGATGACAAGAGTTCCACTGGCCAGTCAGTGTGTGGGAAGGAAAGGAAATAACAAATTGATGAGATGCATTTGAATACAACGAAGGAGCCAGACATGCATTTCAGTATGATTTATTGTTTTATCCCCAAGGTTCCAAGCTTCTCAACGATTTCTTGGCCTTCTCTTTTCAGGATTTCTCGATGCCTCTTTTTCACCCTCCTATTTTTCATCAGACTTCTGGGCTACATGTTTTTCCATATAAGTTATATAAATCCAGATCTCCTGATCAGCATACTGCCCAGGATATTGAACCGGAGCATTTTGTGGAAGCTAAGATGTTTCCTCTTTCCATCTCTCACCCTGGAGACAGAGGACATGTTACCTCACTGATCCCTAAAGAATGTCCTTGGGCAACAGAAGACACGTGATATCTAAGCCTATAAACTAGAAGACAGTGGAGTGCACGGAGGGAGGTTTCCTTCGAGTTTCCCCTTAAGGTTTGCTTACCTGACTGCCTTCCCTCCGTGTTGTCAGAATTTCTAAGACTAACCTTGGCCAATAAAGACCTCTGTCACTAGGTTCTTGTGGCCATATCCATACTCTGAATAGTACCAGATAGTCAATAAGGGAAAACGTGATCCTTTTGTGCGTGTGTGTGTGTGTGTGTGTGTGTGTGTGTGTGTGTAAGAGAGAGGGTTTTTTTAAAAAGAGAGTTTTATATAAAAGAGCAATTGTATATTGAGAAAACTTCCCAATCCAGTCCATAAGTCCTATCACCCCCATATGTCGATACTAGCCCATACATTCCTCTTTAGACTCATGCAGACATGCAATGACCTCAATGCAGGAAGGTCACAGCCCAGTGGGTAGAAAGTCTTGTGGATCCAGTGGTGGTAGAAGCATCTTAGCACTGGCATGGGTCTCCACGTGGTTCCTCCAGCTCCAAGGCACTGGCTGCCATCAACCTGTCTCCTTGTGGCTTGTCAACAGGAAAATCTCCCAGGGAGCGTGTGTGTGTGTGTGTGTGTGTGTGTGTGTGTGTGTGTG